ACCGGCCGAAGTATGGAGAAACCAAAGCCGGGTCCGTGTCGGGTAAAGTGGAGCTAATAGTCCGGTGATTTGAAAGTGTCGGTGAAGAAGCTCGGCATGGCATGGCTCGAAACGAGACCGAGCCCACAATTTATGCGGCATCTTGTTGAAAATTCTTCTCGCAAAACCAATCCCAAATGGAGGCCTCTGCTCATTTACCTTAGTATGAGGTACGTGAAGCTGCACTTGGGGGAAGCCATGCTGGTAGCTGCAGAGGGCATGAGGATGGACTCCTCCCGTAGGACCATAGACTTGACAACAGCAAGACATCAGGACTCGGTTACACCCTGTTTGGGGTTTCAGAATTCAGACAAATACTTCCAAGGGGGGCAAATATATATTCCATTAGTTGCAACGTTGATTGACTGCAGTTGAACACCTAAAACTAGCAAGGTGAGCAAGCACCAAGGAGTGTGATCTGGATGAGCCGCGCCTGTCTTATTGCCTATTATGGTTTAGCAAGCTCATTGTATTACCCAAGACAGATTGACCAGGCATTCTGAAGACAAATTCATAGGTGCCGACATGGATGATGGAGGTGAACAATGCAAGTGAAGATTCGAGAGTCAAAGAGCACGTGAATGGAGGGGCAGAACGGGTACGTACCGAGAAGCATGTTGTCGTTACGCATATTCTGCAGGCGCGTAGGAAAAGTTGAGGAGGGGTACCTGGGCTTGACCCCGCCTTGCATCAATTTTTTTTTTTCCTTCAGGCTTCGATGCCTTCTACCCCTCCTTATCTTATCAGTGGTGGCGGGGCTCATCTCGAAATTTTCACGCTGGTCCCCTAAAATTTTGTGTGGTGCAAGTCCGCGGTTGCCTCCAAAGCTGTCATTTGGCTGGTGGTTTTATTATTTTCTCATTATTTTTATTTTATATTTTTTTCGTCGTTGCGGCGTGTCATAGGTGGTTCGGGCATCAACAAAACAACTGGCCGACACACCCCGTCCTGGTCCTTCTGTGCTTGGATAAAAAATTCAGTTGCGCCGGGCCTTTACTTCCCCTTCCTCTCCCCTTCTCACCTCCCTCTCTCTTTCTTCCCTTCTTCTTCCCCTCCTCGTCTTCTCCTTCTTTTGCGCATAGTTGTGAGGACGACGAGACTCCAACAGAACCTCAAGATGGACAAAGGAAACTTGGTCCAGCTGCTCCAAGCGAGCCAGATTCGTAAGTTACCTTACTCAACTCCCCTTCGCTTTCTCCATCGCCCTGTGCCACCCCGGCCGCAAACCTGGTCGAGCCCGTCTGCCTCATTTCGTCGCCCTCGCTTATTTTGCCTCGTGCTTTTTTCGCCTATAAATTTTGCTTTTTTTAATCCGATCCATCACATCTAATTTTCCGCGAAATCTGTCTTGCTAATCTCTTCTTTGCTCTCTCCAGCCGACACTGAGAAGGTCAAGGCCGTCACGGCCGAGCTCCAGAAGAACTACTACTCCAAGCCCGAGTCTCTTCTGCTTCTCATCGAGATTACCGTCTCCCACGATGACGCCGCCATCCGACAGCTGGCCTCCGTCCAGGCTCTGCGCCTGACCCCCAGACACTGGACCAAGATTGACGCCTCCCAGCGCGAGGCTGCCAAGAAGCACATTCTGGACAGCATTCTGAGCGATCAGTCTGCTCCCTCTCGTCACTCCAAGTCGCGCCTTCTCGCTGGAGCTATTGGTCTCGACCTTGAGGATGGCGACGGCCAGGACTTCGTTCGCGGCCTGTTGTCTCTCAACGTTGCCGACAACGTCGCCCACCGCGAGGTTGGCTCCTACATCCTCTTCGCTCTGCTCGACAACGACCCCACCCACTTCACGGAGCAAGCCCAGCAGCTTCTGGGCCTGGTCCAGAAGACCATCGTCGACCCCGCGAGCGCCGATGTCCGTCTGAACTCTGTCAGATCTATCGGCGCTCTTCTGATGATCATCGACCCCGAGGAGGATACCCAGAGCGTTCAGCTCGTCCAGCAGCTCGTCCAGCCCATGGTTGAGATCCTCAAGAACGCCATCTCTGAGGGCAACGACGACTACTACCGTGATGTCTTCGAGGTCTTCCAGTCTTTCCTGGCTTTCGACTCCGCTTTCTTGGGTCCCCACCTTAAGGACCTCATCCACTTCATGCTCGAGCTCGCTATCAACAACGAAGTCGAGGAGGAGGCTCGCTCGCAATCTCTCGCTTTCCTCAGCCAGTGCGCTCGCTACCGCCGCATGAAGATCCAGGGCATGAAGGACATGGGTGCCCTTCTCATGGTCAAGAGCATGCAGATTGTCACCGAGATCGAGACTGACGATGATGATGACGAGAACTCTCCGGCCAGAACTGCCCTGGCTCTCATCGATCAGCTGGCCAACGACCTGCCCCCTCGCCAGGTCATTGTACCTCTGCTGGAGCAGTTCCCCCAGTTCGCCCAGAACCCCAACCCTGGCCACCGCAAGTCCGCCATGCTCTCTCTCGGCACCGCTTCCGAGGGCGCACCCGACTTCGTCGCCACCCAGATTCAGCCTCTCCTGCCCATCGTTCTCACTTTGCTGAACGACCAGGACGTCTCCGTCCGCCACGCTGCTCTCGTCGGCCTCATCCACCTCGCCGACGAGATGGCTGATGAGCTCGCCCCCAAGCACCGCGAGCTTATCGGTGCCCTGCTCACCAACCTCGAGGCCGTCGTTGGCTCAACCGATAGCCAGAGTGTCAGAGTCATCCGTGCTGTCTGCGGTGCGCTTGACTCCCTCATTGGTGAGGGCCTTGAGGATGACCTCATTAAGGAGTTTGGCCCTAAGCTCATTGTCCCCATGGGCAAGCTTCTCCACCACGAGGATTTCTCCGTCAAGGGTGGTGCTGCCGGCGCCATTGGCGCCATTGCTGCCGCTCTTGGTCGCGAGGAGTTCAAGCCCTACTTCGCTGAGGTCATGGGCGCCCTTGGCCAGTACGTTGCCATCAAGGACGGCGAGGAGGCTTTGAACCTCCGCTCGGCCGTCTGCGACTCCATGGGCCGCATTGCCGACGCTGTTGGCGCCCAAGAGTTCCAGCCCTACGTCATGGACCTCATGAAGGCCAGCGAGGAGGCTCTCAGCCTCGACAACGCTCGCCTCAAGGAGACTAGCTTCATCCTTTGGGCTTCCTTGTCCAAGGTCTACGGCAACGACTTCTCCCACTTCCTTCCCGGCGTCTTCAAGGGTCTCTTTGACTGCCTTGAGCTCGAGGAGGAATCTCTCTCAATCCCTGGCCTTACCGAGGAGGACATCCCCGAGGGTCTGCTGATCTCCAACGGCAAGAAGCTTAACCTGAAGGCTGCTGCTGATGACGATGAGGAGGATATGGACGAGGATGCCGACTGGGAGGATCTTGAAGACTTTGCCGGTGTCACCGCCGTCGCTCTTGAGCAAGAGATCGCGCTCGAGGTTCTTGGCGATGTCATCACCCACTCTTGCGATGGTGCTGCCATTGAGAAGTACCTTGCCGATGCCATGGGCAAGGTTTCTCCCCTTGCGCAGCACCCCTACGAGGGAGCCCGCAAGGCTGCCATTTCTACCCTCTGGCGCGCCTACGCCCGCGTCTGGCAACTCTACGAGGAATCGACCGGCGCCAAGTGGGAGGCTGGCTACCCCCCCAAGCAGAACCCCGGCCAGGTCATCAACGATCTCGGCCAGTCTGTTGTTGAGGCTACTCTCAGTGTCTGGGAGGAGGACAGCGAACGGTATGCACCCCATCGTCTCTACTTTACTTCCCCGTTCCCCCGCCCTAAAGGATGAGTAACTCTCGTTATACCCAGCTCACTCAGACGCACAAAGTGCGGTTGCTGAGAACACGATTGATCACGTCTGATTCATTGGGCATCTTCATCATTTTCATGGCCAGCATTTAATCGAGCATTTTGCTGACGTTTCAATAGTTCTGTCATCACTGAGATCAACCGTAACATCGCCGCCACCCTCAAGTCATGCGGTCCCGCCATCCTTACACACAACGAGCTGCTCAAGAGCAGCTTGACTATCCTCGGCTGTCTCATCACTCGCTCGCATCCCTGCCAGATGGATCTCGGTGAGGAGGAGGAGGAGGAGGCTGCCGAGGGCTCCTCTGAGTTCGACTGGCTCGTCATTGACACCGCCCTCGACGTCATTCTTGGCCTCGCCACTGTCCTCGGCAGTGACTTCGCCGAGATGTGGAGGGTTTACCAGCAGCCCATCCTCAAGTTCGCCAGCTCCCAGGAGTCTCTCGAGCGTTCCACTGCCGTTGGCGTCATTGCTGAGGCTGTCAAGTACATGGGCCAGGCCGTCACCGAGTTCACCGACTCTCTGCTGCCCGTCTTGACCCACCGCCTGACCGACCCCGACTCCCTTGCCAAGTCCAACGCCGCCTACGCCATGGGCCAGCTCATCTTTAACTCCCAGGCCACCGACAAGACCATCTCCCAGTACCCCACCGTCCTGGAGAAGCTTGAGCCCCTCCTTCAGATCAAGGAGTCTCGCATGGTTGACAACGTCTCCGGCTGCATTTCCCGCATGATCATCCGCAACCCCAACCCCGAGTTCGTCGCTCGTGTTCTGCCCGCCCTCGTCGATGCTCTTCCCCTCCAGGAAGACTACGAGGAGAACGCCCCCATCTACCAGGCCCTCTACAACCTGTATGACGCCCAGAACCCGACTGTCGCCAGCCTCACCCCCAAGATCCTGCCCGTTCTGCAGGCTGTCCTCAGCCCGCCTGAGGAGCAGTTGGAGCCCGAGACCCGCCAGTTGTGCCAGAAGCTTGCTCAGGCCCTTCACTAAACATGTGATGGCGCGAGTAAGCATTGGAGGAGGGTATTGAAGCAGGAACTATTGTGTTGCCCCCTTAGGGGTTGTTAATGAGTGATGAGTGGATGAGACACCCCCATTTCCTACAAAGTCTGTAGATAGGTTCATAGATTGCCAGGGTTAGATTTCCTGGATGATTCCCAAAATGCTCTATCAACGTTTCGTATGTTCAAACTATAGGTTCTTCTTCGTCATCGATGGTGACTGTGATAACAATCAATGCCCTGACTACAAGAACGGCATCCCAATCATATTCTTCAACAGCTTTGCCGAAGCATACGTGCGGAAAACGGAAAGAGTCGCAGGCTACATATGGCATTGAATCTTACAGAAGTAGGAACAGATATACAGGAGTTTAACAGTGGCGGATCATACACTCCTCACATAATCTCTCTAGGCAGCAATGCCGCCAGACCTGAGTCTACGCTTCAGCCTCTACATCGAGATACTTCTCTCATCCGTAGACCTCATCCAAGGCTCCAGAGATGACCTCGCAAATACGGTGGCGGACGTACGGACGGTTGGACACGTCCATCAAGTCTTCGTACTCCATGAGCGGCAACAGTCTCCACGGAGCGATGCACTGGTACCCGCCGTCCATCCTCGCCATCTTGGCAAACACCGATGCCATGCCCTCGACCCGCTTCAGGTGTTCCGGTTTGCGAATCCGGCCCCGGATATCCTGATGTCGCGAGAAGTCAATGATGCGCGCAGCGAGCGCCGCGCCAATCGCGGTCGCGAGTGAGGTCCCTGATGCAGGAGGACCACTCGTGGCTCTGATGTCTTGTCCCAAGATCGCAAAGCTGTTGCGAGCACCTGGTAATGGCGAAGGATTGAAGGCTGGGAGGCTCCTGGCGTTGCCGTCTGTAGAGAACATGCAGAATGTCTTCTCGGAGCGGTAGAGGCGACCTGGGAACGTGATGTTTGAGAGGTTTCCATGGTTTGCGGCGGCGGCGAAGATGAGCACGTGGGCTGCGTTTGCTTCCTCGATTGCCCTTAACATGTCTTCGTTTTCGCATTCAAAGCCGGATGGCATGACGATGACGTCGACTTTCCAAACTTCTCGAGCATGGCGAATGGCCTGGTCTCACATTAGATGACAATTTCAAGAGAGGCTGTCGTACTGGGAGCAGGAATGTGGTTTACCTTGGCCATGATACTTGCGGTATTATCGTTTGCATGACCTTCTTCAAAAACACGGCCGACAAAAACCTGGGCTTCCAGGTGAACCCTCTGCAGCAATGAGAATGCATAGGTTCCATGCCCGGTACTGTCAAAGGGCTTGACATTCCGATAGTCCACAAAGTCTCGGAAATCAACGATAGACGACGAGTATCGTTTATCGATTCCGGTGTCCAGGATAGCTATCCTGGCAGGTGCGTATGAAGCGTCGCGTAGGCTTGGAGAAAGACGAGTGACGATCTTCAGTCTCTCAAGCCTGTTAAACCATTTGTCAGATGTAGGGGCGGAACTGCGATTGATGTTAGCTTGAGCCTTATTGAATCCTAAACGATCGACGAAGACTTGACAAGAGTGAACAAACCTAGCCTCTGCTTCGCAAACTGAACCCTTTGCTGGCAACATCATCATATTCCGGTCTCGGTTGCCCGCACTGATCGCGAAACGCTGGAGCTCGGTAATCAAGGGCATCGTAGCCCCTTCTGACTGCACGCGGATAGGTCGGACGGCCGACTTTTCAAAGTCACCCCAAGCCGTCTCGAACAACTTCTTCAGTGGCGCAACGACGTGGCGATGAATGGCATCGCGGATTTGCCCTGGATGTTCCGCGATGCTTCTGAACGGATGCGCAGTCAAGCAATTTCTGATGAGCTCCTTCAATAGTTCGAATGTTTCCTTCTCCTCCCATAGGTCTGACGTCTTGAAGATTTCCATGGCGATAATGTGAGTTGCATTGACTGTGAGGTTGCCGTCAGCGTCGTAACACTCGGGTCGATTTTGACAGTGATCTTCAATCTTGAGACCCAGCTCGACTTCCAACATCATGATCCCAAGCTCCAGGACCTTGGGCAAAGGGTGGTATCGGAACCTCATCTTGTCCTCGGACAAAGATTCAGGTTCATCGAAGTGAGCCGACAGAAATGGCTCGTCGACGTATACTGCTTTGGCCGTGTTGCCACGACGTTCCAGCATGAAATGGATAGTGTCCTTGTTCCATTCCCTACGCATCCAAATTGAATCGTAAAACTGCCACACAGCGTTGGCCAGACCGTAAGCTATTGTAAGTCTTTGCTTTCGCGTGAGCTGTTCACCGAGTATTTCGGAAAGTTTGATACTTGAAGTTTGTGGACAGAAGAATCGTGATAACGGTGCCCACTGTTGGACGACCAAGCTGTCGCCCTGATTGACTAGTTGCAGCTGAGCTTGCTGCCGGTGCGATATCGTATCACAAAAGTTCTCTTTCGAGAGAATCTGACAATTTGAGTTCGGTATGGGCTCTGGAACCCCTGAGACGGTGTTAAGCCTAGAGTCAAACATTGTCAGCAAAGCCCAATGACTGTCGCCAATGATGGAATGGATTTACCTCTTCTTAGAGATGCAGATCTTTGTGTCTTGCCAATGACTTGCTTCGCTACCATGGTGTTCATGGGGCCGACCATGAGGGTGATCAGGAAAAAAGACGTTGAAAGTAACGTCCTCAGGTGTCCTTTCATCCCTTCCGAACCCTCTCAGTCTCAGACTCACACCAATGGCCGTCTCTTCGTCTCTGCGTTGACAAATAGAATTTATCGCAAGCACTCTGTGCAACTCAGCAAGGTGATACTGATAGTCCCCTATTTCTGATTCTTGGATGCTTGTCTGGGCAAAGTCGGCCAGCTTCGGTTGTTCGATGGAGAGCTCCATCTTGGGTCTCTTGGACAATAGTTCGAGCGACTCTACCAGTTGTAGACGGAGCTTTGAGGTGTTTGGACTTGAAGCAAATGCCCTCATCAGATCGTTGCCCATCTCAGGATGTTGAACGAAGTCTGACAGTCGAGGAAACCACCCCAAATCATATGTAATGGGGCCAAGAGATCCAAGGTGTTTACCGGGAGGGCCTGGCCACTGCAAGAGTATGAGACAACTTGACAAAACCTAGCGAAGATTCCAAAGTTCCAAGTGCTTACCTGGAGCAGATTTTCGAAAAGAATCAATAAACGGAGAATTTCTCTCTGCGAAGTATCTGTATCGGAGGCCTCTGACAAGTCTTCCAGCCACTGCATGATGCCTGCCAGATTCGTGCGAAGGAGACTGAAAAACTGCACGTTCTGCCTGCCTTGGAGCAGCTCGTCCACGACTTTGTAGAACAAGTTGGTCGCTTTGAGCGAAAAGGGGAGCATGCCTTCTTTCATGGCTAAAATACGAGTTCTCAAATGTTTTTGAAAAGTAATCAATGGTAAAATCTGTTCAGAAAAATCAACTCAAACTCGAGTTGGAGATCATATAAGTAGACGATGTGGGCGCTAAGAATCTGTTGGACCGAAACGAGCCTGCGACGTGATCTTGGCATCGAAAGCAAGTTGAACTGGGATTGCGATAACACTGAGGGGCAATGCACATCGGATCCACTGGTTCGTGAGAGCCAGTTGGTCAACTAAGTGGTCTTTTTCTAAGCGCTGTCTTTCTAAGCGCCCAACTGCCTTCCTAGGCGCTCACTTTCTAAGCGCTGTTGTTGGAACACAAATAGCAACAATTTCGGTGATCGACTAGGTAGTCTTCGGAGTATGGTTCACACAATTCCGCTCCAACAGAAAGGCAAACCTGGAAACTCAGAGGTCACAATTTTCTGACCATCAAACGACTGATTCGAAATATAAATTGAAGCAGCAACACCTTGAGCGGTCACATTCGAATTGTCTCCAGATTCATACTTCTTTCTTTGCCTTCATATTTGCAACAATGAGCGAAAAATGTTGGTTCACTTTGCGACAGACGCACTATCCGGCGCCTATGGTATTGGAAGACGAAACCGGAGTCACCGGGTTGGTCAAGGGGCCTTGGTGCTGCGGTGAGATCATACCTGATTTGGCGCATCTTGACAACATCATCAACTATCGGGGGCCAACAAAGTTCCCGGTGGATATGCCCATCTACCATAAAAAGTCCGAGGACGTACCCTGGGGGCTTACTTCAGGACCTTTGATCAACCAATCCGGACACAATAATGCACCTTTCACGGCTACGGCTGGCACTACAGCAACTATCAGCGCCGACATTGCATCTCAGGAAACTGTCACTTACCATGACAAGTTTGAGGCGCTCGATACTTACACGATCGAAGTAACGCCGGCATATATTCAGGACTGCATTGCCACCAAAGAGGTGTTGGATCACATACGTCTACACAGTAGAATGGGATCATGGTCTATGCTCATGATCACTGGCATTGCTGTTGCTCGCGGTGCGCGAATCTTCCGATCGGAAAGGCAGAGGCCTTGGGCCCATGGAGGCTTCAGAGCGTAAGACAGCCAACTAGCAATCCCCATTATCTTTCAAGGAGATCGCTGTACTTGTTCACATCAAGACTGACTTCTCAATAGTGGTCTCTCTAGGCTGGCAAGTGTTGACGCAATGATAGAGGGTTTGTCAGAAGAAAGCATCACAATGGCATCATCCCGGTGTTCCGACTTCGTCTGCGCGTTGCGATTTACCAGGATACATAAGGGTCTTTTGGATAAAACATGGCACTACGAGACCTACTTGAAAGGGGCAACGTACGGCTTGGATTCTGGAGCTCAGGTTGCCGAAACGAGGGAAATTCTGCGCAAAAGAGTGGTTGCAAACAAATGGATGGTCCCGTCTGGCGATGGTAATGAGATCTTTGTACATTAGAACGTCTTGAGTATTTTGATTGTTATGCATCCTTTTATTCCTTACTAAAATTCCAGAATCTGCGTTCCCACGGATTGCGTTGAAGGAAGGTAAGTGAGCCTGGATCGACTGGTGATGCCGCAAAATAAGAGGTGATTTAAATCAAGAAAGTCGAAGAACAAATATACCCTGTCCATGAGTGTAGGGAAAGATGCCGGCTTTTGGCTCATAGACAAAACCAAGCTTGCACGAGGCAGACATCTAGACCGAAACCTGCTTTCTTTGTGCTCTCTTTTTCCAGACACTTTCTGCCTTTCATGTTTCTCTACAGCAAACTCCCCTCGTTGGCGTTGCTGCCCCTATGGAAACTCAACAAAGCCGCTTCCCTAGTTTCTTGTTCACTTATGACCCAAGGTGAAAGTACTTGAAGATCTCTTATTCACATAATTTCTATGTTGAGAAAAAGTCCATGTCGCATCGCAATCCACTTGTCTTATGAGTTAACACCAATCATTTGCATCCTAACATGGAAGCCCCTACCATTCTCCACCGTATTCCAGACTACAAAGCTGCTTTTGGCAGGCCCATCGTCAGTCCAGGATCTGCTTCCGCTCCAGCATGGATGGAAGACCGTCAGGCCGACTTCAACATCTGGGCGGCTAGCTTCAACATAAGAAGCAGCAGTGAATCGTCACTGGATCATCGCGTGAGAGATAAAAATAATGCGAGTAAAGTAATATGCCGACACCTCGAGGGCTTGCTGGAGGCTTTGAAGAAGATTCTAGAAATTGGTTAGTGCTCTGCTCAAAATCTTCGTTGCCATGCTGAATCTCAAACTGGTGTATCAAGGGTTTATCGAGGTTGAGAATCAAGAAGTCTCAGTACGCAAGCCGAATTATCCAGATATCCGAGAGGACAGCGGATCAGAAGCTTCGGATTCAGAGGTGACTACGTCTAGTGAACCGGCTGAAGATGACAGCTTAGAGACTCTTTATGAGGAACAGAAATGTTACATTCATAAGATTCTTAAACTACTCCAAAGAGATTCTATAGCAACTCGAAAATGAAGGACTAAGGATCAGTGCGCAGCCCAACGGGAGTAGTCTCGAAGACTTCCTATTACATGAAGTTACCGATTTTCGGATTTCCTAAGGTCGGCGAGTCAATTCAAATTATGAAAATCTCATGGGTGGATTAATAGGTTGAATTCGCAATGCGAAACTTATAGCAAAACTTGAGCTTCATCAGTGCAATATTTCGCGCTGTGTAACCGTTTATTCTACAACGGCAGCGAATGCAATAAGTAAGGAGGTTCATTTCAAAGCTCCAAAAACCCCACGTGTTTTTGAGAGTTTATTGAGTGTTGTATACAACCGGTTATTGAATATTATACTCGAATCTCATTGGATATGTTGGTTGCCTAATGTCGAGAAGGGCGAGCTGTGATATTCGTTGCATCGTGGCGACAGAATCTTCTGTTCAAGTACTACTTGTGGGTCCAACGGAATCTGACATGGAGATTGAAACATTGATTGATTGTAAAAGTCGTCAGCAGCACGAATCTATGGATATCAAGACTCAAACTATCATCGCCTTTGTCGTTTCTAAATCCAAACTGAGGATAGCAAAGGATTGGACATGGCCACTGGATTAAAGGTTTATACGACCAGGACACGGAACTTTTGAAAGAGGTCCATGCTCCCCGAGTCCAGTCTTCGAATGACCTAGGAGAAAGCACCTTCATATCCTCCCAGTAACTTCATCGCGATTAGGCACTGGACGAGGTAGATTAGTCGTACTCTCCTTGTAGATGCTACGCAGCGTACTTTTGCTAATCTGGAAAACATTTTCTCTTGATGTTTGTTGAGTTTTATCAACCTCCACCAATGAGTTTGTAGTTTCACTTCAGTTTATTCTTTTCTTGCTTCTTGCAAACAGCCATGTCGACCTCTCCAATATCAAGTCGAAGCTGCTGATGGTAGAAGTGTCATAGGCGTTCATGCTAACTAAGCGAGGCATGCTGCCTTTCAGGGAAGTAAGACAGCTTGTCTCACGCCTCGGCAGTTGATCTTGGAGGACGCATAGGAAACCCTTGTTCTTGGCATCTCTCTTTCCTACGTGTACCTTATTTAGCTAATCATATAGGTTTTTCTTTCTTGATTCTGCCAACTCCATGTTTTGATATCGATTCTCGTTCTTCTGCATGCGGAAGATAGGCGCAACGCTAAAGATACGAGTAAAAACAAAGCAGATCCCCAGTTCGTTACCGACGGATATCTTCATGTGAAGCAGTTCCAGCCAGCATATCTGATCAAGCCTCGTGGTGTTAGCTTCGTAATTTCTGGATCATTGATCTGCAACCTTTGGATGTTCGGTATGTGTTGGCAGAGCTTTAGCTCCCGGGTCACATGCGGTTGGGATGTCATTGATTCCAGCGTATCGCATGGAATGCTATCGGGCTTCAGCCGCACTGATTGCAGTATGATGTATCACTGCGACGAAAATCCCAAGGATACATCAAGTCCTCGTCTGGTTTAGAATGAAACATAACACTCTATCGGTGTAGAGCGAAGGGAAGGAGGGCGCCTCAGACAATGTGCTTAAATACCAGAAAGCACCAGGCCGAAAAGAACTAGTTAGCTAACAGACAGACTCGACGTTACTTCCCAAGATACTCCATTCGTCCGAATCCAACATGGACTTCGTGCAGAACCCAACATACCTCCTCGCCCCCCAATGGACCTTCCGCCCAGGGGGCCCCATCGCCATCGGCAACATCATCGCCGACCCGTTCAAACCGCACATAGTCTGCAGCTACGCAGACGCCAGCAGCAACGCCTACGCCACCGACATGGCAGGCGAGCGCAACTGGCGCATGTCGCAGGAAACAGCCCGCCGCTTCGACGTCAGCATGTGGAGCGTCTTCCTCGAGAAGATCCAGCTCAAGATCGGCGCCAGCCGCAGCAACGTCAGGCACGGCGAATACACCATGGACGTGTTGGAGACGACGTACCTCCTGCGCCACCCTTCGCACGAGGAGATCCACGAGCGGTGCAACAGTCCCGCGGTGAAACCGTTGATGAATATGGAGAGGATTAAGGCGAAGCCGGTGTACATGATCACGGGACTCAAGATCGCCAAGGGGTTTGCTGTGAAGCAGAACAGCAGCTCGGACAAGGCGGCGCATGCTCAGGCCGGAGCGGAAGTGTCGCCTGGGGTCAGTGTTGGGGCGGAGGTGAGCGGTTCCAAGAGCCAAAGGGAACATCATGGGTTCGAGGCGATGCAGGATATCATATTTGGTTATCAGTTATTGAAGATTGAGCCCAAAGGATGGGGCAAGAGGAAGCAACTCCATTACGGCGAGTTTATGAAACGTAAGAAGAGCGGCATTAAAGACCCGGAGTCGGTTGACGGCGAAGCGAGCTTGCCGGCTGCAGGAGAATTTCAAGAGATGGGTACAGATATCCAGTCCGTCACGCTGGATGATGGAGACGCGGGACATGGGGCCATTGTTTTCCAAGCTCCAGATGAAGAGGAAGCTTCAGAGTAGTTTCAGTATTTGCTGTTCTACTTTAACTACTTTGCTTCCCGTCTGGATGTAAGCGCCGGATGTCGTTCAATTATTGGTTCCAATTAAGGGTACTTAATGTAACTATGGAATGCCATGAGAGTTTCTGCTACCTCCCAGACCTTGGTCGTCATTTGTTGAAACGAGAAAATGTTTTAAGCGACAGAACGTTGAGGACACAGGATCTAGGAATTCGTCTAGATAGATATGAACATCAATATCATTAGAAACCCTCTTCACTTCCGCGCCCAACCTCTATCAAGCATCATGGTATTCATCATCTAACACTCAAAAATTGGTATAAATCCTCGCCTCCCACCCCTTCAACAGAGGCGCAACCCCCTTCACCAACTCCCCACCCTCCCTCGTCCCAACCAACAACCGCACCTCAGGCGCCTCACACCCAAGCAAAGCGGCCACATCCCCAGCACTCTCCCCGTCCTCTTTCGAAAAGTTCATCACCACAAGCGCCTTCCTCTTCCACCCGCCTTCCTTACCATTCACCGGTGCAGGACTCTCCTTGAGTATAACCCACGTCCTCTCGTTGTCCGGATCAATCAAACGATGCGATCCAAAGACGAACACATCGCGGTGCTGCTTCCTCAGCTTCAGCACCCTTTTGTAAAACGACAGGATGGAGTCCGGGTCGTCACGCTGTTTCGCGGCATTAATGGACTTGTACTCGTCATGCACCCTCATCCACGGCTTCGCGCCCTCCTTCGTGAACCCGGCATTCGGGCTATCATCCCACTGGAACGGTATCCGCGAGTGATCCCTCGCCAAGATGCGCAAGCCATGCATCGTCTTCTCGATCCGCTCCGCATCCCCAGACTCCAACGCCTCCGAGTAGAAATTACTGCTCTCGATATCCTTGTACTCTTCTATCCCCCAGCTGGCCGGCATATTCGTCATACCAATCTCCTGGCCCTGGTACAGAAACAGCGTCCCAGACATAGTCGCCTGCCACAGCGCAATCGTCTTGGCCGAAGCAAGCCACAACTCGGGCGTCGAATCGTCACCGAACCTCGACACCGCGCGACCGTTATCGTGGTTCTCGCAAAACGCCGTCGCCCACGCGTCGGTCCCCTCGATGAAGGACTGCCACGTCTCCGTGTACTTTTTCAACGTCGACAGCGGGAACGGCTGATAGATATACTTTGCGCCGAACCCGTTCCCGTTCCCCAGCCGAATCACGGAGAACTCAAACACCATGTCCAGTTCTTTAGCCGCGGCCGAGACGTAAGGTATCACCTGCGACGGGTGCGGCGTCAGGGATAGCTCGCCGACGGACACGGCATTATACGGCGCCAGGGCTTTACGATTCATCTCGCGGATGTACTCGTGGATGCGGGGGCCATTACACCACATCTCGGGCGCGGGCTGGTGCGGCGACGTCGGGTCGGTGACGGGGGCGTCGACGTAGTCTGTGCGCTTGGAGTACTTGTTCACGGTATCGATGCGGAACCCGTCGACGCCGCGTTCGAGCCAGAAGCGCATCGTGTCCTCGTAGATGGCCTCGCGGCAGGCCTCGTTGTCCCAATTCAGATCGGGCTGGTCGGGGGCGTACAGGTGGAGGTAGTACTCCTGGGAGTGCTCGTCCCAGGTCCACGTCGGGCCTGCGAAGTACCCGCGCCAGTTTGTCGGCGGGTGCCGCACGCCGTTGGCGTCGTAGCGCGCGGGCTTCCAGATGTACCAGTCGCGTTTGGGGTTCTCCTTGGAGGAGCGGGATTGCTTGAACCAGGCGTGCTCGACAGAGGTGTGGTTGACGACGAGGTCGAGAATGACCTTCATGCCGCGCTTGTGGCACTCGTCTAGCAGGGTATCGACGTCGTCGACGGTGCCGTAGGGTGCGTAGATCTTTTGGTAGTCGGAGACGTCGTAGCCCATGTCGGCTTGGGGGCTCTCGAAGATGGGGGAGACCCAGACGACGTCGACGCCGAGCTCGTGGAGGTAGTCGACCTCGGCAATGAGGCCGGGAAGATCTCCCCAACCGTCGCCATCTGAGTCCTTGAAGCTGGCGGGGTAGACTTGGTAGAAGGTTGCGTCCTTCCACCAGGGCTGCTTGCCTACCCAGCGGTTTTCATCGTCCCAGACGAGAGATCCCATGGTGAAGGAGGGGTTCGTTGGGGAGGTATCAAGCCACGCTGTAATGAGGGTGGGTTGTCGTCAACCGGGTAGGTGGAAGTAGACGAGTGGCAGAGAGGGACAGACAGACGGCGGGAGAAGGAGAAGGGACGAGCAGGAGAGGAAGAGGTCGGGTTGAGAGTCGAGTGTGGGAGAGATCCGAGGTCAATGGACAGAGGTCAGGACGCGCCGGGAACGATTCGCATTTTGACCACGCGGCGAATGGGCTGCATGGGAATTGGAACGGCGGCGATCAGCGGTCGGGGCAGAAAAATGGCGTGGCGACATGACATGCAGCGGAGAGAAGAGCGATGATGGGCGTGGGGGGAGTATGCGTAGCGGGTATTCGTGCGAAGGGAAATGGACTCGGGAGTAGAGTTGTGGTTATCGTGGTCGTGTGTGGGTTGAGTGGTTCATTTCGGGCGAGGGTTTCTGCTTCGACAGACGACGGGGAAGGGGGAGGGGGGAGGGGATGAATGTGGTGCCGGCGGAATCAGTCCGTAGAAGGGCCGTGGGGAGAAAAGGATGCATCGCGTGAAGTGTGACGGGGTGAGAATTCAAAGAGAGTGCGTTTGTCTGTGGAGATGCCGATGGGAGAAGTGCCTTATTCCCCGCCTTTTCTTGGTTAACTAATTGCTGAGTACTCGTAGCTGCGTCTCTCTCACTCACACTCTCACAGGTTCGCATCAAAGTATCCATACGCAGCAAGGTACGGCAAGGTACGGTAAGGTAAGGTAAGGTATGCAACGTGTGGTCGCAGGAGACAGGTTTCCCCTCACTCCGCATTGCTTCCGCCCGCTCTCGAGGTGCCAAGGTGGATACGAAGCATCCGTAAGTGCGCAGTACTCCGTGGAATTGTTGAAGAAGCGGAGATATGCGGGATTGTCTTGCGCTCAATTTTCATATGGTTTTTCTGCTCATCGTTAGCCTTTGATTAGCGCTCCGGCGGCTTGGGAAACAAAGTGCTTAGACTCCGCATCCGCCGCACATGGAGATTATGATTTATCGGATGATGATGCATTTCAGATGTACTGTGACACAAGATGCAAAAATGATGAAGGAGGAGAAATCTTCAACGGGCGGAGACTCCGCCTTCCCTGTCGACCTCAAAGAGTGGAGACCACTCGGACCCGGAGATGCTCCGCTAGACTCCGCACCTCCCTCCGACCCCCCTGTCTCCCGCGGGAGCCACAAACGTCATGCCTTCCCACCAATCAGACCTCGCCTCAGTCAAGACTCTGGAAGAAAAAAGTGGTGATGAGCTTCAGGGCCGTCCAACAAAGTCTGGAGAACTGGGCTGGATCATGGATGGTTGGGTTGGTCTCAATCCCGAATCTGGGGAAAGACCACGCCCCGGGCCTGGCTGACGGTGGCTACGCCGCACACGCGCATGGAGCTCGGCTCGGGACACGGTGAGGCGCTCAATCTAGTTTCGACCTCGTGAGATGCCATGGCCCATGATGCGAATAGCGTCAACCCATCATCCCGATCCCTACTTTTCCTATTCTTCCCCCTAACCCGTACGGACTCTCCGTACACGAGAACTGTCGCTGGCGGAGTCTCCTGTCGACACCTCGTGCCACCATCTCCAGAATGACCAGAATGGATTCTAGCTGCCCCTTGGCTCGAGTCGAGAACGCCATCACCAGACCTGTAGAAGGCCTAGTGAAGCCCTTTTTTCTCCGTCAATCCATAGCTTGGGATTCCATCTCCATGCTTGTCTCCAGGTTCTCGAAGCACCAGCCGGGAAACCCTCCAAAATGAGATTCAAGAGACCAATCCCGTTGCTCCATGTCATCCCCACAACCATTTCTCTCACAGGCTCACCTAGACTGAGGTGACAGACTCACCCTCCGCTTCTCCACAAATTGCCCATGGAGTTGGGAAAAACAACATGATTCGACAGCCCTTCCCCTCCTCCCCCTAACCACCAAAGAGTCACCACCGACCACCCTCCACCATACCGAGGACCGGGGAGGGGATGGCTCACCACCAGAATCGGATGGCTTGGCAGAGCAACAGCAACAAACCACCCCATGTCAACCGAGACTGACATACTTTCAGCATGCTGCAAAATCCTTCCCTCACCTCACCACAATGACCACACACGAAAATCAACGTAATCACGCCAAACCCATCTTGTCCAGGACCCCCTCCCCTCTCCCCGAACTTATTCCCCAAGGGGAACCGCAACTAATTACTGTGGTGGAGCGCACGGTTCAAGCGTAGGGCGTCTTGTCACTTAACTTTTAGCTCTGATTTTTATTTTATTTTCCAACCTCTCACCTCACCCTTTTTCTTACTACTGCGTACATTGCTCACTGCTGCGCTACAAACACTTTCTAATGTTACTTTGACTACGACCCTTCTTGTTGTAACAGAAGCTGTCAAATTGATTCGGGTTCTTCCACCCTTGGAGGGATATAAGACGCCCCGAATGCCCTCCTCAACTTAATTCATCTCCCTCCTTCAGGCGCCCCCGACTTTCTCGCATCCCCGAGTCTCAACCGCCTCCTTCATCTCTTCCTCATCATCACCTCATACATCTCATCCAATCTTTCATCCGTTATATCACCAGCATCATAAAACTTGATACCCCCGTACATATAATCCTCAACTTCAAAATGGCCGACCCAAAGGTCTCCTCCCCCGTCCAAGAGGACAAGGAAACAGGCATCCACCACCACACCTCAATCACAGACGACGCCAACATCGCAACCCAAAATGACCACAAGTCCGCGCACCCAGAAGACCTCGCCGCGGAAGCAGCCCAAGCCGCCTCCGCAGAACACAAAATGTCCCTCCTCGAAGCCATCCGCACCTACCCAAAAGCAATCGGCTGGTCCGTCCTCCTCTCCTCCACCCTCATCATGGAAGGCTACGACCTCGCCCTCCTCAGCAACCTCTACTCCTCGGCCGTCTTCCAGCGAAAGTACGGCACCTTTGTCGAGGCCCAGAACAAGTACGTCATCTCCGCCGCCTGGCAGTCCGGTCTCAGCAACGGCGCCCGCGCGGGCGAGATCTTTGGGCTTGTTATCGCGGGCTGGACGGCGGATCGGTACGGGTACCGGGTTACGACCATGGGGTTCTTGGTGTTGATGATTGCATTTATTTTTGTGCTGTTTTTTGCGCCGAATGTCCAGATTTTGGTGCTTGGGGAGGTTCTCTGCGGTATCCCCTGACTCCCAACCTGGCTGCGAGTATCTTTATTCTGACGTCTTGCAGGAATCCCCTGGGGTGCTTTCCAGAGTGTCACGCCAGCATACGCCTCCGAGGTCGCTCCCGTCGTTCTCAGGCCGTATCTCACCACCTTCATCAACATGTGCTGGGTAAGCCACGCTTCACAATGACGAGAGGGCAAACTATAGAACGTCGCAAACTAACAAGCTCTCAGGTCATTGGCCAATTCTTCTCCGCGGCCGTCAACAAGGGCTCGTACCACCACCAGGACGAATGGGCCTACAGAATCCCCTTTGGAGTCCAATGGGTCTGGCCCATCCCCATCCTCATCGGCCTCTTCTTCGCCCCTGAGTAAGTTCAACCTCAGATCACATACTTATTTTTTCTTCTTCCCAAGAAGCCATTCTCTTCTGTGCTTTGACTGACAACAGCAGATCCCCCTGGTGGTACGTCCGCCACAACGACAAACCAGCCGCCAAACGCGCCCTCCTCCGCCTCACCTCCCGCAACCAGCCAAACTTCAACCCAGACGAGACAATCGCCATGATAGAACATACCAACGAGCTCGAAAAGCGCGCAAAGGAAGGCGTGACCTACGCAGACTGCTTCAAGGGCGTCGACCTCCGCCGCACCGAAATCGTCGTCGGCATCTGGCTCGTCCAGACCCTCGGCGGCCAGAACCTCATGGGCTACTTTGCCTACTTCCTAACGCAAGCCGGCATGGACCCAGGGAACTCTTTCTCCCTATCAATGGGCCAGTACGCCCTCGGCATGGTCGGCACCGCGGGCTCCTGGTTCCTCATGTCCCGCATCGGCCGGCGCACAATCCACTTCTCGGGCCTCTGCGCGCAATTCTGCCTGCTACTGATCGTGGGCTGCCTGTCCTTCTCCAACAGCAACGCCTCCGTCTGGGCCATCGGCGCCATGCTCATCGTCTTCACGTTCGTCTACGACTTCACCGTCGGACCCGTAACCTACTCCCTCGTCTCGGAGCTCTCGTCCACGCGCCTGAAGAACAAGACCATCGTCCTCGCGCGCGCGGGCTACAACGCCAGCAACATTTTTGTCAACGTCATGACGAATTACCAGCTCTCGTCGACGGCGTGGAACTGGGGCGCGCGCACCGCGCTGTTTTGGGCGGGCACGTGTTTGCTCTCGTCCGTGTGGGTGTATTTCCGCGTGCCGGAGCCCAAGGGCAGGACGTACGCCGAACTGGACCTGTTGTTTGAGCACAAGGTTTCAGCGAGGAAGTTTGCGGGAACGAAGATTGATCCGTACTCGCATGAGCTCAACAGCGAGAAGAAGTTGGCCGAGGAGCATTAGGTCCTGGCTTTGCCACGCCTGTGACGGGACAAACACGAAAGGGTGTGTCGAGGAACGGGTCTTGACAATGTTTGTTGGATACCCCTATAGTTGGAGTTATTGTACCACTAGATACACTACTAGCGTAATCTTATGCATAATGAACAGATCTCGACCTCACTCCGTCATCTCTGAACCCGCGTTCCTTTCTCCTCTCCATTGCTATAGAATCATGGTATCAAAACGTATCTTACGTCGGCCGACGCGCCAACGTCCCCGCAATCGCCATACTCGGCACAGCCTGCTGAATATGCTTCTCCAACAAGTCATCGTAAATCGAATTCCCCCCGGGCAACCTCGTAATGAGCCGCCGCATATACTCCAAATCATCCTCCGGCCCGCTCCCCGTCCCGCCCATTCTGCCGCCCCTCGGACTCGACGGCTTCGTAATCGGCACCCTCGCAAGCACGTCCACCGCCGCGCTCGCGATATCAAACAACTTCTCCGTCAACCCGACCCCGTGCACCTTGATACTATCCACAGGTAAATCCCGCGTCGAGAGCACAAGGTCCTTGGCCACCTCGAGAGGGTAGTGATACGTCATGCTCGGCGAGTGAACAGACTCTTCAGCAAGGTACCCGAACCGCAAACGCAGCTGCCAGAGTATAATCCGCAACCACAGCTGCGTCACCCTCAAATTCGCCTTTTGCGTATCCTTGAGGTCCGAAGTCGACCGCAGCGCCGCGTTCACCGCCGTCTCGATATACGTCAACGCCGCGTTCGACGGCGGCGTCGCCACCTTTTCCATATTCAACAGCGCGATAAACGACGTATCCAGCGGACTAAACAGCGCAGCCAAACTCCAGAACCCCGAAAGGCTCGGATCGTCGGCGCCCAGGGTCGGCGACTCGGCCGTGATCTGCAGCGTCACGGGCCGCCGGTACCGGATCCCGTGCGACCGCTCCGACACCAATAGAACCCAAAACAACCGATCCGCCAGCACCGCCGCCGCCGGACTCGCCGACGCCTCGGGCGTATTCATCCGCAGCAGCAGGAACAACGTCGTTGCCTCTCTCAGGAACAAGAAAGCCTGGCTATGGTGGAAGAGCGCAGAGTGGCACGCATACAGGAAAAACGTGAGCAGACACTGCTCAAACGTGGGATTCGACCGCCTCGCGAAGTTCCGATGCGCCGCGAGCGCCTCCTCAAACAACATCCGCCCATGCAGCGCATTCTTCTCCGGAATCAAGCCCTGAATCCACAGACTCTCCGGCTCCTCCACCTGAAGCAGCACCAGCGCGCACACGGCCGTCAGGAGACAATGCGCCTCCATCCCGACTTCACTCGGCCCGGCAACGACCTTCATCTGCGCAACGTACTCGGGCGTCAAGATCGGGATGGTAGGGTGCAACCGCGCGAAAAACCGATCAACGCAGTAATCCATCACCCGCGCCGGCAACAGGTCCGCCATGCGCTGGACGGCTTCGCGGGGAACGTGCCCGAAGGCCTGGGAGCCGTCCGAGACCCAAGCGAGGGAGACGGGACCCGGGAGGCCGAGGCACTGGTCGCCTAGGCCGGCGTCGACGCAGCGCTTGCAGGGGCGGTATTCGTTGCATGCGCGGCGGAGGTTTTTGCAGCGGGCGCAGGCGCGGGAGACTTGGGCTCTTTTGGGGCGGGAGCCGCCGGATGATGAGGATTTGCGGCCGCTGCCGGGTGCGCCGTCTCCTCCGGGTCCTCCTCCATTGTAGCCACCGCCGGAAGAGGATTCTTGGGCGTCCTCGCTGTGATCGTGGCGTTTGCCGAGGTGAGAGCTGCTGGCTGGGGATATGGTGGAGGGACTAGCTGCTGGGGGGGACACCATCGTCTTTTCCATTGCGAAGCCTCATGGTGTACCAGGTCGTTCTTGGGCGCGCGGATGAGAGTGAGATGCGCGTATAGTCAGGCGTCTGAAGTGTTGTTGTGTTGTTTTGGGTTTTGGTGTCCACCGTGGATGAGAGAGATTGGACGTGAGTGAGTGTGACCACACCCACGCAATGGAAATGAGTGACGGGAGTTGGAGGAGGCCCACGCGTGCCGAGAAAAAGACTGGACGCAGTAGGGTAGGTAGGTACCTTGGGAGAAATGTCCCCATTCTGCCCGGTGCCGGTGCGCGCAGTGACTAAGTCCATTTCCCCAGTGAGTCACGTGTTACCCCGCTAACCCCCGTCCTGCGTCCTGGGGGAACATTCAGGCGCTATAATTGGTACGTTTGGTGATGGGACGATGGGCCATGGAACGCTGTATAGCCGCTCCAGAAGGATTCGTCCATCACCAATGCAATGCAACTGTGCAACAACACGCCAGACAGCCAGAGCAATATCCCGTTGACCATGATGCAAACACTCATTATAGTATCCCTGACCACAGGACTGAGCGGCCGTTGATCTGTAGATCTTTCAAGTAACCCGTGTCTAAAAACCCAACACCCAACGCCCTCGCTATGCACCCCAGACATGCTGTATTGCCCAGTCCCCACCAAAGAAAATCTTCACTTTTGTCGCATGTTCTTGGGCTTGCGCTTCTTAAACACCACCGCCGGCGCCGCGGCCTCCGTGGTCTCCGCAGCCTCATCCTCCTTCTTGACACCATCCTCTCCCAAGGCCGGCACGTCCAGACCCTTGCTGCTAGCCTCATCCTCCGTCGGCTCACTCTTCACAGCCGGCTCATCAGACGTAACCCCCGTCGCAACCTCCCCTTCACCCTCCTGCTTCACCTCAGTCTTGGCATCCACCTCATCCTTCTCCTCCTTCTCCTCCTTCTTGACAGGCCTCATCAGCGTATTCCCACTCAGCAACGCATCAAGATCCTCGTCATCAGCCGGCATCGTCCTCGTACTCCCCCACTTCTTAGGCCTCTTAAACAACCCCCTCACAGCCTCCTCCTCCTCCCTCTCCTCCTCCGTCTGCTCCCGCTTCCTCACCCCAATAGCCTTGGCCTCAACAGGCTTCTCCCTCTCCCGCGCCGCCGCCTCGTCGTCGACAACCTTTGTCGTAGTGACCGTCCACTCCCCCGCCATCGCCATATCGCCCCGGAACTCCGTCGGTATCGACACGCCCATCTCGGCGAGCTGTTCCATCTGCTGTTTGCGCTGCGCCTCCGCCGACGGCGGCGCGCCGCTGCTGCTCGAACCGCCGGGTCTCGAAAATGATGATGACGAAGATGGTGTTCCAGAAGATATCCCCTTCAACCTCTCCACCTCGCGCTTCGCCCTGTCCTTTTCGCGCTCTTCTTGCTCATGGCCGCGGTGGAGATCGCGCAGGAACCGTTTGAGCGCGCCCTGGTGCTTGCCCGTCGCCTCGTGGTTCTGTCGCTCGAGCTTTGTGTCGCGGACAAAGATGCTGCAGTGCTTGCACCAGTATTTTGGCGTCGATTTCCAGTATTCTGACATGGCTGTATGTGTGCGTTTCGTGCGTTCCAGGTGTGTCCGTGTACTTTTTCAGGTAGAGGTAAGGTAGAGAGAGATGTGGTCGAAAGAAGTGACAGGGATTTTCGTGTGTTGTCAGAGAGAAAGAAGGTTGGCCGAGACGTCACTGCAGGATGCGCGAATGGCCAAAATTTGGAGGTTCGCGATGCGCTGGGGCCCGTGCAGCTCTTATCTTATCTCCAGCCACATCCCAGCAGGTGAATTGTCACTCCCTAAATTCGCAGCGACATCGGACGCTAATTTACCAATTGCAAAGAAAATGGCTTTGGGGTAATACGTGTCACTGATCAAGAAGGAAGGTCGAATTTTTGTATGAACATGTGTTGGTATTGTTCTAGTGGCCGGTCCCAGGGACGTATCACAGTCCCTTCCAACTACCTAGCTACCTGTTTGCGTGCTTGCAAACCTGTCCATCCTGTGCTCTTGTACAAAGTCCGTTTCCTGGTCATCATCATGGAATTAAAATGCCGATTTCTTGGCAGGGTATTGAGAAGCAAAAATGCCAATTAAGCCTTTGTGAACCAATTCAAGTCCACTCACACGTTCCGAGTCAAGCGACTTAGATAAGGCAAACGACTGCCATCAAAGTGGCAACGAGAGCGACGAACGAGGCCGGAGCCAGGTTCTGGCCAGCAGCAACGGGAGGAGCCGCCGGGGTGGTCGTGGTCGCAGGCGTGGTCGCAGTGGTGCCAGGAGTGGTCACGACCGCCGTGCTGTTGACGGGGGTGGAGGGAACCGACGGAACCGGCACGGGCACCTGGGAGGTGGGGACCGGCGGGACGACGGGCGCGGTGGTCGCAGGAGGAGCCACGGGGGTTCCCGGGGGAGTGTAAGGGGGCTGGCTAGCGGGGGCAGAGGGCGTCACAGTGACAGGCGGGAGCTCGCCGCAAGGGGTGGTGTGGCCCTGAACTTGGCCATCTCCAATCTGGCAGAGAGGGACGGGGATCGTGGTCGGGACAACCTGGGGCTGTCCGTCGCCGATGACCGTGACGACAGTGGTGACGACCATGGTGGTACCAACAACCTGTCCGCCAGAGGGGACGGGAGAATCGGCGCCGCAAGGGAGAGCCGAGAGGTGGATGGGCGAACACTGCTCAGCCCAGTGACGGTCGTACAAGTTGTAGAAGTCGCCGGACAAGCATCTGTAGAAGGTGGTGGAGCCTCCAAGGGCAAGGGAGCCGTTAGAGCAGACGGAGAAGCCAGAAGTGTAAATGGCGCCGGCTTGAGCGGGACCGTCAAACTGGAACTGGTAGTTGGCGACGATAGAGCCAGTGCGGCCCTGAGAATCGGTGAGGACACCGTCCTTGAGGGTGAGGTCCAAAGAACCAGTTCCGGTGCAGGAGCCGCGCTTCTGTTACATTTGTAAGTTTGAAATATCATCATCATCGGACACTGATGAGGCTTACATCAAGGCTTCGCTTGCCAAGCCCCACAACGGTAAGACCGAAGTTGCCAGTGTAGCTCGTAGAGCAGCCAGCGGGGGGGTTCTCAGATGGCTTGAGAGCTGCCTGCGGCATGGCCACGGCCAAAGTAGCCAAGGCGGCGGGGAGAATGGCGAAGGAGCGCATCTTGTTGGCTAGAAAATTTTGAATTAGCCAGGTTCTTTCATGTGTTTTCACTCAAGTCGAGAATCATGAGTTTTATATAATGTGCCGATCCGGCTGAGAGGCAGGCAAGATCGTGGAGGACCAGCGAGATCATGAAGCACAAACCACTTCACGAGTCACCGGATAGCTCAGGAGGGACAGGAAATTCGACGGGAACTCTGACTGGACTCGGAAAACAAACGATGAAAATACCCGGGCCAGCAAGCGCGGATAAAATCACAATTTGATGCCACAAGCCCATAACGTTGCCGGTGGTGGAAGAGGGAGGATGACCGATGTAGCAGGCTCATGGATCGTCAAAAGCCAATGAATCCGCGAGACGCGCTCGATGGTGAGAATCGGAGTCCATCTCGCTAGTGTCAAAAAGTCGTAATAGAGATCAGCTTACCTGAGTTCAAGTTCCTGTGGTTCCAAGGGAGGCGGTGAAGGTTGCTGTGGAAGGTAGCTTGCTGGCAAAGCAGTGTAGCTCAAGTGTTATGTCGATGTGGTGGTGAGAAGAATTTCCAACAACCAAGTTGAATTATTTTTGCCCAAAGGTGAGGTGGTGAAGGGTAGTCCAGCAAAAGCTCCTGACCCGCTTTGTCCAACAATGTCCTCGTTCAAGAATCACACAAAAAGGCGGGTACTGCCTGTATTGGTGCCTCGTGGAAGCACGGGAAGCGTGAGATCGGAAGAGAACCGAGGAAGGAAGAGAGCTTTGTTTTCGAGTGGTACCTCTGGCACAATGTTGTGTGAGGTGATGGTTGTCTGTTGGTCCTTTGCCGTTGCCACGCGGGATGCGTATGAGTGAGTGTCGAAGGGTCGGTAGAAGAAATAAGGTGTTGGAATAGGTTCAGTGAAATAAACGTGGCAGGCTTCCTTGGTGGAGGGCAACCCTATGAGCGAGAGTATGGGCAGGGATGGCGAAGGTGAGCTGAAGAGAGGGAGACCGAGGAGGAGGGAGGGTTGGGGTCCGGTGGTTCATATACAAAGAGAGGGAGGGTAGGCTTGTGAGTAAGGCCTGGTGGGTAGGCTGGTAGGGTAGGAAGATAAGCTTCAGCCGTGGGTATTGCGCGTCTTTGACATCCAGAATGTGGATTTGATGGAGCAAATACCTTGAGCTAAGGAACTTGCAGTAGTGTGTGTATACGTGGTGTAAGTAGCCATGTGTGCTTGTGAAGGTTGGTATTAGTTGTGATCTGATATGCAGAGGCATGCGGCTACTTGCAAACAGCACTTGGAACAAAGCAAATCTGCATGTACATTCCAGGCTGATTACGCTGTACATCAGACCAACAACAACATCACAGCCACCTCATCCACACTTCCACTACATAGCAGCAGTTGAATATTGATTTGCGAGTGTGGATGGGTGGGTGGATGACTGATGGTTGTTGATGTGAACATAGTGGCCCAGGGGTGGTTGGGGAGGTCGCCTCTGGTAGCAGGGCTGGGCTGGAGACACACCTCAACCAGGACCAGGGTCAGTGCCACGAGCTCAATTGCACTGTCCCGATGCAAAGCCCGTGGATGATTTTGCCGGGCCTGGTGATGTCAGAGATAGAACACAGCTTTCCCTCGCCGAGTCATGGTCAAAGTGATGTGTTTTCCCCCAAAGCAGAGCGATTCGGACGAACCGGGCACGCAAAACAGAGGGGGCTGCTTGCTTTGCTATTTTTGCAACTACTCTATCCTGTACTCGGGGCAACCAAATATGTGATTCGACGAGGCAACAACGAGGGGCCTGGCCTGTAAGACGTCGTAAACAGCAGAATAATTGATGATTGAGAAACCGAGGATAGAGTGCTGGATTGACTGCGGCCACCGGCCTGTCTTGTGCTGAGACATAAGGCTTGCGCAGCCAACCGCTTGGGGGAGATTTACTAGAAGCTGGAGGACCTGTCTCGAATGCGGTGTGGCTTCTGCTGATCAGGTACCACGGTCGAAATAACCAATGAGTGCTGGTGAGGAGCGAAATGCGTGGAATGTTGGACTTGTCGGGCTTGTTTAGTGAGATGCTTGGGCTCCAGGAGCAGATGGCGATTCTGCGTGGTTTGTGCACATGAGAATGGCATCGGTCGATTTTCAGCGGTGCTGGGCACACGGCGGCGGGGACGGGGAGGTCGGCACTGCACTGTGTTCCTGGCCTTGGCCTGTTCTTTAGGCTGTCTTGACTTGCCGTGCCGTGGTGCTAGATGTGGACCTCGACGTGCGGTGAGGGGTCGTCGGAAGAGGGGGTGAGCCGGGGTGTGCCCCGATCGATTACCGAGAGGGGGTTGGTGAGGCGGAGGTCTTGTTGACGTGGAAGTCGGGATTGGTGGAAGACGTGGATAGGTGGTGCGGCATCCACAGATCCAGTGAGCTCGCGAGACATGGTGATTTCTCCCCGTTGAGCACTTGAGCATGGAGAATCAGACATGATTGGCGGCTCCGAGGATGGGAATGCGTCCCTGGCCTGGGAAAAGGAAAAGGGGCCATGCGTTCCTCAGGCGCAGATTGGCTGCTGCGAACAGTTCGACAGATGCAGAGATGTCTTGATCCCTTGCCTTGGACTGGAGCCTCCTCGTCGTTAGTCGACGGACAAGAATCCAGAACAGTGTCACTCTGGTACACTTTTTCTCCGTTTCTTTTTGGCGCTTGTTTGGTGCAGAACACCAAGAAAGAAGTTGGTGTCGTCAAGAGGGGAAAGATCTTCCAGGAAGTTCGTTGTCTGGGTAAACGTGTGGTGCTGTCAGCCCAATCCCAACCAGCAAGAGCGTATATTGTGTATCCGTATCCTATCCGGACATGTGTGCGTGTGTACTTCGGACGGATGAAGAAGACCAAGTCGCCGTGGTCGTTCATCTCCATGCTTCCAAGTCGATATTGGTGCACCGTAGTACTCTGTCTCTCATCCATACCAGCCACAGCCCTGATCCAGATCCCTTCATCTCGACAGCGTGCGACCTCATCCGACCTTCTTCTCCGGCGGCATAAATTTGCCGAAAACAGGAATCCTGAGTTTGACTCTGGGGAATCTAATGTCATTTGGTCAATCCCCCGTTGTTGCGTTTCAGCCGACCCGGTCGCCATGATATCATGGCACGAACATCGGCGAATATCATCATCTGTTAAGACCTGCAGCAGTCCTATCACCGCGTCGTCACCGGGTCGGAGTGGGTGGACCGGAGACCTTGGATGTCGGCTCGAGGGGGTTTGAGGTTTTTCCTGGCCTTTCCGTCCATCCTCCGCTGGTTGAAAACGACCGAAAAAGGAAGCCCCCCAGCGACTATCCCACCCATCTTTTCCCTTGTGGCGTCTTGGAGACCCACGGCACCCGCAGCCAAGCGCCGCTCTACAGGGGACGGCGTGCCCTGTCGCATGCGCTGTACCCGTCAAGCAGCTCGCTACGCACGCCAAGGCTAGGCGCCCTGCATTAGCACCGCCCGCCAGTGTCAGAGCCTGCGTCGATCCGCCCACCCCCAACTCAGTGACACCTGTTGACTGGTCTGGCTTTAGGCCGTGCGGCCGAATCTAGGCCATCATGTGGGTGAGAATAGCACAAGAGGCCAGTCAGTTGGTGGTGTGCCCTGGTGGGTGGTGGAGAGAGAAGAGCCTGAGAGCCTGAGAGGTACTCGAAGCCAGCGCGAGTTCTTTGTTCGGTCCGGGATTCTCAGGCCAGCAACATTCCTCCTTACCCCTCCCTCCAACGGTGCCATTCGATGCTCCAAGGCCGGAAACTGTCTCCGGAATGACGGACTTCAGCGCTACTCAGCTTTGGTCTAGGTAGCATGTGCTCTAGCCTCAATGCTTCTGGTTGCTATCGGAGCTCGCGGTTGGGGCGACGGGCGGGAGCTGCCCGCTAGAGACAAGGCCACACAGTCTTAGGGTTGGGCATGCAGGGGACAGGGGGAAAAGCTTGCGAGGCCTCTGGGCCTGCTCGAATTCGTGCTGTGAGTTCGATTGTTGTTTGGCCTGGCTTGAGAGACATCGAAACGGAAAAATCTGAAGCAAGGGAGAGTGTTGGGACTGCGAAGAGATTTGACGGTAGAATGAGGATGTACAAAACCATTGCCACTGTTCAATTGCAATGATTCAGGTCAATGTCCTTTTCCACGAACACAATGTCAAGAGGGATGCCGACTCAGCTGAAGCATGCTGGCACCCGTATCCCTCGCCCGTCGATCTTGGTATGGCAAATTTTCAAATCTGGCTGCAATAGAATGGCAGTTGTCGCCGCCGCCCTTCGGTGGCTCACGGTACCGAATCGTGGCTTGCGTTGCCTTGGCTGGCCCCCTTGTGTAGCACAGAAGCAACAGGTAGATTGTGCCGGGGAGATGATAGCATCACTTGATGCCGGGATGCCGGGATGCATTGAGTAAGTTACGTGCGACGACCGTCTTGTTTTCGCTTGCTTGCTGCTAGCCGCGCCAGGCTAGATGCGCGTCTCCGCGTGTAGGACTGGCTTGGCCGCGAACGTTGATGTCGGCGTCCGATGCGGACTTTGAGTTTCTTTGTGCTGTCGGGTGGCTTCAGGCCTACCTTAGCAAGTCGACGGACAGCGACAGACGTCGAAAGCCGTCTCTCGACCGGGTTGGTGAGTGCCGCTACTAGTTGTTGCTGGGCTGCCCCTCGTTCGCAGAGCAGATGGTGCGGTTTTTTCTACTGCCATCCCCTCCGTTGCCAGGGACCCTAGTGTAAAGTGTTGAGCTGACTGACGTTTGCTGAGCTGATGAACATCGGATTGTTGGAAGAATCAAGTTTGTCTGCAGTCACGAGTGAATTGGGACGAATCTGTGCATGCACGCGGCTGAATTTGACTTCTCAGTCCGATTACTCTTGCCTTGGAAGGTTCCGCCTCGAGGGTTGGGAGAAAAGGCATGAGCGTCCAGGTGCAGCAGTGCACCTCCCCCCCCCCCTCTGCGGAGGAAAAGAATTCCCCGGCGAAATGCCAGGGGCGGATAGCTGAGAGACCCACTGCGGCACTGCGGCTCCCAATCGGCGGCCTTGGCCCACCAGAGTGGATGGCTTGGCATGGCAACCTCCGACTTCACCTCAATATCGTCAACCTCGAGTCCTCGGCCAACAATTTCCATGCTGGTATACTTGGACAGGATATGAAGGTAATTCTATAAGCACTATCTATCGGTTTTCATGCGCACAGTGAAAACATCAGTTATACAGCGGAACAGGATGTTGAACTCGTTGCCTGGTAAACAAACCACGAGGGAACTAGTATTTGACCCCAGCTTACCTTAGTCAAAGTCAACCTTGTCGGGATGAGAACTGGTAACCTCTCAATTGTGATATTTTACACAGATTGGACGTATTTCTAAACATCTCAATCAAAATCCCCAATGGCGATGTGTTTTCCTGTCGAGGTTGTCAGTTCCCAGGCCGTGTCACCATCAAGGAGAATAAGTCAGAGTCGGCGAAAGCCTATGGCAGCCACATTGCCGATTTCTGGGCTTGTTTCGATCCCAGTGCATTACAACGATAGAGTACCATAATGAAGAACAGCCTGTCAAATGGGAATGGGATTCTGGCCATTCTTACCAATCCTCTGCCACGGATTCCATATACACATGGAATTGAAGGCACGGTGGCGCCTGAGCTACTCGAGAGGCGACTCCACAGCATGGCATACTGAACAGATTGGTAAATTAAATTTCAATGGAAATAGTATTACTTCGTGACTACCGGCCACGGTGAGATGGTAAGGTGGAGTATTCTCACGGGGAAGCTACTTGGTTGGGATTGAGGGCGGGCTGGTTAGTTGCAGGGTGGGATGCCTGGGACACCGGCAAGACCGACCGATAGATCTGTAGGTGATCAAGTGTGTAAATATCTCATCAAGAACCGGACCGTATGGTCGAGGGGCGAAAGCCGTGAAGTGCTGACTGGACAGTGATGCTCCTGTTCCTTTCAGGACTCCGGCGTTCAATCCTCGATCGGTCCACTCCTTTTTGAGTTTTTTCGAATCTTCAAATTGACCACCACTGGACCTCATAGGGAATCGACTGTCTCTATTTTGCCACAACAGATACCGGGTCATATGGTCGAGGGGCGAAGGCCGTGAAGTGCTGACTGGGGCAGTGATGCTCCTGTCCCTTTCAGGAATCCTGCCTTCAATCCCTGGTCGGTCCATTCTTTTTTTGTTTTTTTCTCAATATGACTTTTTATTTTGCTCCCCTTGCCTCCCATGTTTACATGCCTACAAGTCAGGCGGCTTCTTGCCCGGAATGTAAGTCCGCTGTAAGAAGGCTACAGTATTGATCTCTGCATTGATCTGCCCAAACCCATTCAGTCACCCACAGGTTGGCTCCATACCTCTTTCGTTTGTCTTTCCTTCTGCTGATATCGTTGAAGACGAAGCTTTATTTTATAGCAGAATTCTCCGTGATAGACTGACGATTTTGAGGGCGGCGTGGTATATTGGCCTCCTTTCGCCCGATTGATGTCTTAATCATCAATCTTCCTACTTGCACCTTCCTAAATTTCAAGAAGACTGTGCTTCCTCTACTGAATGACAAGTGCAGCATAGGTCAGGGCTAAGGAGAGAAAATACCGCTACATTGTGCCATGTCACTGGTCTCCTAACTTGACAATCCGTCTTCCTGGTCATCTGCTTCGATGGTGAGGGTCTTTTCAGCTCTCTATCTATACAAGATATTGGGGAGGGGGGGTTCTTGTCTTCGCTAATCACCACAGTGTACTTGTTTCCGTACAAAGGTACATGCCTGGCCTTGATTTACTCAAGCTGTCTTGCGATTTGAGGTCTTCTGCTGGTTCTTTCCATTCCCAAGCCTCGTAAGGGATACCCTAGCCTGCAGAATAGAAGTGGCGCCTACTACCACGTGCCCATGGTATGAGAGAATGCCAACCTACGCCAAATTCGAGTATGAGATAGAGATTCGACGATGATAATTGCCAAACCCATGACCACCAAAGAGAGTCACGAAGACCTCGCTGTTCCATGTAGCACTGAGAAGGAACTCATTCTTCGACGACTTTTCTTGTGGCATTCAGAAAGACTAAGAGGGTGACGTTCCACAACCCATTACCCGTCCACCCATAATCCGTCTCTAACCATCCGTCGTCCGTTGTCCGCAGTCCATTATCCGTTCTTCATTATCATCTGGTAGGCGCTTCTATCCCGTCGAGCGCTACTCCATCGTGCGTTATCCCATCTTGCTCATCCCAATTCGTGACCAGGAGTTGCTAAGCGAAGCCATCTCTCCTGCCTCCAAATATTCAGTCCGAGAGAGACGTGGCTTCTGATAACATTCAGGGCCGCGAGGCCGAGAGGGTAGTATTTGATCCCGGGGCAACTGTCAGATAATATAATTGTTAGCGTCAAGCTACCGGAAACAGAGCAATGGATGAAACAAGGCATAAAATAAATTTCGTACCTCAAATGTGCACCTCCTCGAAACCCCACTGCTCCCACTGCTCATCGTCAACGGCCAGCGGATCTTGAACGTGACCGCCGCCGGCGAGAACGAGCAGACGAATCCACTCACTCGCCAGCTGAACACTGTCAGCTCCGTTGGCAGGCATCTCCAGCTTGCCGCCGTACCATCCACGGATCAAGCGTCCTCCGGCTCCCTGAATCGCCGCTTCGGTATTGTCACGAATAGACTGGCGGAAGGCAAAGAGGCTGGAGAGGCTTGCCCTGATCTGAGGGCTGTTCTTGATGTGGTTGTAGCGGGCGATAGGGTCGAAAATGATCAGCTCAAGGCCGTCGGCGTACTTGTGAAGTACAATGGCGAAGCCGAGACGAGGGCAGAGCGAAGACTAGACACCCTGCTGCGTGTCGGTGCCAGAGACCTCGTCGGCAGAAGGGATCGCGCCCCAAGTACGGCCAAACCAAGGAGTGGCGAGAGCAATAGAGATAGCCTTTCCATGCTGGAAGATTTTGACGGCTTGAACCAAGGCATTCTCAATGCTGAAGTAGTAAAGAGATTGTCCGTCTGAGGGGATTGCCCACTGGCGACGCTCCATCTGACTCTTGAAGTTGGCGATGGGGGTCAGAATCAAGTTCCAGGTGCTATCGGGCTGGTAGTTGGAAAGCGCGAGAGAGCAGAGATAGGCACGAGTGTCAAGAGGCAGGGTAGCCTTGTTGGGAGTTGCAGGTAGGGCGCCGGGAGTTTGGGGCGTCTTGCCGAAGAGGACGCCTCGAAGCTCCGGTGTGGCGATGAGGGCAAGTTCATGCGGATCGAAGTGAGCAGGAGGCCAGGACTTGTTCTCCGCGGGTCGGGCGACGCTGGCGCTCTGGAACTGAGCCGTGAGGGCGCCCATCTCGTTGGGGCGGGCCGTGAGGGACAAAGCCTGAAGGGGCGGAAGAGTCGCAATTGTGTCCTTGACTGAAATCTAAGCGTCTACAGCCATGGTGAGATCGGTCTTGAGCCGTTCGCCGGGTCGCCGCGACGGGCACGCACGTAAACTTCTTCGATATCCTTGAGTGCGTCGCCACTGAGTTCGCCTCTGGTCTTGAGCTCAGTCGCAACGGTCGCGTAGAACGCAGAATGACCACGTAGGGCTCCGTAGAGGTCGGCTCTAGCAGCGAGAGTGTGGAAAATTCCCAGAAGGCAGACTTCGGCCTCTCTGGTCATGGCGATCATGTCGTTGACATTGCTGTTCGCCCAGGTCCAATCACTTCCGAAGAATGCCGCTAAGACGACATGGACGGTCTCTCTGTCGGGGAACATCGGGCCAGGAGGGAAGTTGAAGCCTCTCTGTATGAGGATCTTCTTGGATCCTTTCTCGTTGCCCGTGATGGCACGCTTGGATGTTGCTTTTGCCTGGCTTGGTATTTTGCCAACGCCGGAACCTCGAGACGAGAGAATTCAACGAGTATGTGGATGGGATGAGTGAAGAAAGCAAGGCAAGGAAGGAGGCGAGGAAAGTTGATGGATTGAGAAAGGGGAGTGGTTAAGGTAAGGTAGCAGGTAGGTGAGGTAGTGAATGAAGTACCGGGGGGAATTATTGTAAGATATGAGGAAAGGTGGGGACGTCAAAAGGTGAGGTGAGGTATTCTGTCGGAGGAAGGAGCGAGGGTATCGAGCATCGACGTACCTTCCTTTTCACACAAGACCAATTCTCAGCATTTCTTGACGGTCATCCAACGGGAGATTATGCATCAGGTCTCGAAACTAAGGCTCCTTGAAAAGGGAAGGAGCACCCATGACTGAGCGTCTTATGTTTAAAGGAGGCGATTTGCAACCTTATATCAGGGATCTGTTCAACCTATCAAATAAGTTACATGAAATATGACTGGCCATCCGAGCTTAAGATGACGTGATTTAGACCTTGTCTCCATATGACATACGGCCGTGAATAGATAAACGAAACAAAAAAAGGCCACCAGATTAGCACTGAGATACTCGTCATCTCATCATGGCTATAAATCTATAAAAGTGAAAAAAAGGGGACCAACCGAGGATTGAAAGCAGGAGTCCTGAAAGGGACAGGAGCATCACTGCCCCAGTCAGCACTTCACGGCCTTTGCCCCTCGACCATACGGCCCAGTATTAGTTGTTGAGAATTGGACATGATTCATTCCTTATGAAGGTTGAGGACGGTGAATGTGGAAGCTTTACCTGAGGCATCCTGTGCGGCACTGTCTTGAGGCATCGTAGGAACCCGGTTGGGTGAATCACTCATTCATTACCTCAGTCAAGCCATTGGATCCAACAGGGTACCCAACTGGTTGTTGCTACGTTCTCTAGATTCATCACACTGTACCTTAAGGTAGAGAACCTGAGTGGCAGTTTGAAATGCTCTGAATTGCTGAATTCGACTTGTGCTTTTTGTGACCAAAGACGCATGCATCTATGAAGAGTGATGGAGCTCTATCTGACCCCAATGCAAATCCTTTCTTCATTACGTCGTCCGTTATCCCCACCACATCCAACGTATCCCAAATCTGCCAATTTACATAATGACCTCGTTTGAAACATCCTATGAGATTGTCAGTAACATGAAAGACTGATAGCAGTGGGGGCAGACTCACTCTCTTCAACTCCTTGAAGGGAAGGCACACGCAGTTTTGGACCCGGACCTCATCACCGACACCGCAGTCCTTGCCGAGAATGGTAATGCTCTGGACCTTGACGCCGTTCTTGATGATGCTCGTCGTGTGGCTGCCTACGGGGGTGGGGGTACCCTCAACACGGGCCCAAGCACCGACGCGGCTGCCCCAGCCGATGATAGAGTACAGGACGCAAGAGTCGTGCTTGATCTCAGAGTCCTCGAGGACGACGGACTCCTTGATGCGGGCACCGGGGCCGACGTGGACGCGGGGTCCGATGGAGACGTTGGGGCCCAGCTTGGCGGTGGGGTCGACGGTGGCAGTAGGGTGAATGAAGACGGGAGGGATGATGTTAGAGCTGGGCTGGGCAAGCTCCTTGGAGCCGTTCTGCCAGGCCTTCTGCAGGTAGAGGGCGTTGGCGGGGACGGCTGAACCAGCCGTCTTGATCTGACGCCAGAAGTCCTTGGTCTCGTACACGAAGAAGTGCTTGGTGTCGGCGAGGTCACCGAGGATATCCTGCTCGAGGCGGATGACCTCGTTCTTGCGCTCCTCATCGTCGTCGGTGATGATGAAGCTGTTCTCGAGATTCTCGGAGCTCGGGTAGGAGACGAGGCGCGAAGGACGGTCGGTACGGCGCTTGATGGCGGTCTTGATGGAGGGGAAGATGGCGTCGGTGGAGAAGAGGTAGACACCGCAGTTGATCAGGTTGCTGATTTGCGACTCGGGCTTCTCGACGTAGTGAAGGACACGGCGGGTGTGGGCGTCGCTGACGATGCAACCGAAGTTGGTGGCGGCTTCGTTAGAGACGCGCGTACCCAGAATGACAGCCTCGGCGTTCTTGTCGTGGAAGAGCTGGAGCATCTCGGGGAGTGGGAAGGAGCAGCAGACGTCGGCGTTCAGGACGAAGAGGCGCTCGGGGTGACCTTTGAGGATAGCATCGCGGAAGTGGTAGAGACCGCCTGCAGTGCCGAGGGCCTCATATTCGCGTAGGTACTTGATGGAGAGGTTGGGGAACTCGTGGGAGGCGTCCTTGATGAAGTCGCGGAAGACGGACTCGTCGTAGTAGCCGATGATGAGGACCTCGGTGATCTCCTTGCCGGGGACTCGCTCAATGGCAGCCAAGTTGTGCCAGATGATGGGGTGACCAGCGACTTCGAAGAGGGGCTTGGGGACGTCGAGGGAAAGAGGACGGAATCGAGTTCCTCTGGAGGGGCCTCCGACCTGAAGATTTAAAGGTTCTGGTTAGCTTGGGACCGTTTGCAGAGGACAATGAGCTTTGACGAGCTTTGTGAGGGAGGGGGAGAAGCAAGGCGGGGTTTTGATATTTTGGGGATGCACGCGCCGCACAATAAAGCGACGCGCAAAACACCATAAAGCAGATGGTCTTACCAGAATGACGGCCTTGGTGGCACCCTCTCTGGGTGCCTTTCCACGGTAGGGGACTTGCAGCGACATGGTTCGAGTGGGATGGGTATCTCAGGTTGTGGTGGTGAGAAAGGGAAGGGAAAAAAGGCTTAGATAGCAGTCGAGAGACCCGGTACAAAGTCAGGTCGGGTAGCTGAGGTGCGGAATTGAAGACGCTACTTGCAACGTCACCGCTTCGTGAGTTTTAGAAGGGGGTCCCCCTGAGAAAGTGTTCACTCAACCTTGTGAGGTCCCAAGAATAAATTCAGAACAGGCAATGCATGTGTTGGCAGGGGTCTATCGATAGGAGGAGGGTCATCAGGTGGCTCGTGTCGTTTCTAAGGTAGATGTGGCTATTCTATGGGGGACTTCTTGGTGTTATTGAGAGACTTTGTGAGGCACCTATTTTGCCCGGGTAGAGGTGTACCTGTTTACTGCTCAGGACCCTTTGCGGGGTGGACTGGATTCCCTTGCGTGGCAGGAAGGAGCCTCCCGCCAGGTTCCATTGTCTCCAAGCTATCGATAAGCAATAGTTCATGGTGAGCGAGGTGGCCCAGGAACACATGCGACAAACTCAACGTCTCATTCGTGTCCCTTTGAGAAGCCAAACATTTCTTTTTTGTCTACAAATCCTTCAAGCCAGATACCTGAAAGTGCTTGCAATGGACAATTCCAGAAGATAAGGCAGGCAGTATCTGCAAGAACAGACCAGGAGTTGAAAGACTGTTATAGATGGTTCACCTGCAACTCTCAGATGCCATGGCATGACACGGCAATCATGGCATGTAAGACAGCATCGGCAGCCGATTGGGATGGAATTCAAAATCATGTAAGAGGTCGCAGGTACCTTGCAGGAAGCATCCCCAATTGACAATCATGAAATCAATTTACGCGTCGGTATCTGAGCGTGTCGAGGACGTGTAAAGCAGGCAGCACACGCGACAATGTGGTGCCTGAATGGTGAGCAGTGACTTGGTTGACCAGGTGAAGATGCACTCATCTTGGGCGAAATCTGGTAGGCCGCTGTGCATCTGGGACAGCTCAAGTAAGTACCAAGTCGCGTCTCTCTACCTTCGCAGGGGATCGCCGAGGCCAAGCTCCACTGCCAGCCATTCTCTTCGAATCTTGCGCCCCTGAGGTCCATGACATCCCTGCCTGCTGGGAGACCGAACGATGCACCTCGTGCGCTCCAGTTCCCAATAATCCACGATAGTGGCTACCTGGCCCTACGAGCAACATGGTGAGATATCGCCAGCATCACGTCGATGGAAATATTGGAAAATGATAACATACTCTTTCTATATGCTAGAGACACTATGGAGAGACTTAAAATCAGCTACATGGCCTTTTAGAGTGTAGACAAAAGACGCACTGTTGCACCTTTCCATGTACCTTCTAACACTAACAACCACTTTAACGAGAGCTCCAGGAGAGCGGGACATGTGGTTGCTCAGGTCACCCAAACGAGGAAAGAGCTCTTAAAGCTCTGTAGCTCCCCAGAGCTCCTCCCCTTCCTTCACCTGCCTGATATCCAGCTTCAGCTTCATCACCTCACCTCACATTACCTTACAATTTTACTTCAGGTCTCACCTCTTTCTCTTACTTCCCACTCGCTTCCCTCAGTCACTCATTTTTTGTGCTGCCTAGAGCTGGGTTGGGTCGTCAATTGTCCCTTCGCCGTTCTTTGAGGTACCTCTCCACCTGGGGATATATTCCTCATCGACCCTCTACTTTGCCTTCAGAATCTTTCCTCTTCTCAATCCTCTCATCCGCTTTCCTCTTACCTCACCCAAAATGACAAAGGCAAGAGCGTCGAGAGGTCATACCGTCAAGCCCGAGCCTGGCAATCATCAGAATACTTCTCCCACACCTTCCCTCACCAACACTTACAACGGCTCCCCAGAGGCCAACAGAAACCAATCCCGTTCTTACCATGCTGGGCCTGCGGATGTCAATCAATCATTCTTGAGATCGGACGCCCGTAAGTTACTATTCCTCTCATACTTACCAGGCTTCTCAAATTCGATGTCTAATCATCGTACAGCCACGCCTTCTATCGCTCCTCACGGCGCTTACACTGCCCCCCAAACTGTCCGCAGTGCGCTTACAAACCCAACGTTTGACGAGAGTGAGCCGGTCCTGCTCCAGGTCAGGAACAGAGATATGGATCCGCCCGCGATCCCCATGCAGAACGACTCATTTCTCGATGGTTCCTTCCGGGACATCGGCGCCAAGGTGAAGATTTTCAACGATACTCTCGGTGAACTACAGCAG